ACTAGAAGAATGAAGAAACGTACCCGCCATGTGAGAAGACGGGTCAAGAGAGCCAGTGGCTTGCATGTCGAAGAAGAGCTTCAGCTGCTCTAACTGTTGCAAAGTGAAACCAGGGACTGGACTTACATCAGCATCCACCTGGGAAGCCCGCGGTTCACGAGAACGAGCTGGGCGAGTGGCATCTTCTCGGTGACGACCAGTAGGGCACTCTCCGCGCTCCCCGCGCTTGTCACGAGAGGGGTAGCCGATAAGCTCGTAGCAGGTTTCACGAAGATGAGCAATCTTCTGACAATGTGAGCAACGCGGACGATCACGATCACCACGATCGGCAGAGGGACGCGACGAGCGGTCAGAGTCACTGTGATTAGAGAAGGCAGCAGCTTCAATAGAAGGTTTGCGATTCTGGGAAAAAGTGCGCTCCTGCTCATCATTAGAGACAATCCGAAATACCTCAGGGAGGGTAGGCATGGGCTGCATAGACAGGACATGACTACGAACAGTAGCATAAGTGTCATCAAGGCCAAGCAAAAAATCAAGGAGGCGGAGGCTCTCGATTTGATCCTTGCTACGGCGACCACAAGCACAAATGGGAGGCGGCAATATGGTTTGAGTTTCCTCCCAAATTTTACGCAATTGAGTGTAATAAGTAGATACCGTCTGCTTTTCTTGCTGCAAAAGACTGACATGGCGACGAAGCTCATAAGCACGGGTGAGAGTACCCTTACTAAAACGATCGCGGAGATCCTCCCAAATCTCCTGAGCAGTTTTCGCATGCATAACACTGCTGCGTATTTCAACATCCATGGCTGTACGTAACCAACCTTTGACAAGAGCATCACAACGAATCCACGAACTGAGTTTCGCAGACGCGTCCGCCGGCCGAGGAATGCTGCCGTCGACAAAACCAACCTTGTGCTTAGTGACAAGGGCATCTATCATCTCCAGATTCCATTCCCCATAGTTGGTAGGCGTGAGAACACTACTCACGTGAAGATGACCAGTGTTGTCCGATTGATGAATAAAATAAGGGCTCAAAGAATCCGAACCCTGGACATTAGAGCCGCCAGACCTTGACTGAGGTGTGGTGCTCGACAAAGTAGAATCGGTCATGGTGAAGGATTGAGGATCGATCACCAAAGAGAGAAGCAAGCCAGCGGAATGAACGTCGCTGACAGACGGAAGACAAGCTGAATCTACAGCTCTGATACCATGAAAAATCTGCTAAGTACGAGTGCGATTAAAACGAGAGAAGACGAGATTTACGTGGTATCCCCGATGATCGGGACTAGTCCACGGGAGAGTAACTACTCTCCGATTTAGGTTTTCTTATTATTCAGTTCATGGTGGCTGATGGCCATTACAGGGGGTTTTATATCCCGTACACAAATAAACTAGGGTTATCAATCCCTTACACGAAGAGGAAAAAGCAACATGGGCTGCATGCGGACGTGCCACGAGACGGGTCGAGTTAGGCTGACGTGAGGATGCATCGAGCTGGCCCAATAGGGCGTGTTAGTATAATATCCATAATTGGATCTTTCTCAACAGTCCTGGTTACTGGGATCAACTAGTTCCTGACATGTTATCCGAGCCTTCTATGTTCGAGAGGTTTTTCGTTCGATTCTCGAGATCTCATTTGTTATACACATGATATTTGGACTCGTGGAAACTTCGATATCATATGAGTGACTTGAGTTTGAGAGTGCGTATAACAAAATGGTTAACATCCATATAAGAACCTCTCCCAACAACTTAAATTATTGGAACCAAATGGTTTTGTACAGATAGAGAACAAATAACTCGAGGGTTTGATTTATTAAAGAGACCATTCAAGTTATGGGATTTGAACACGAAAATGGCAGTTGGAGGATTTAACCATCTAAAATTCCAAATGAATGTTTTTCTCATAATAGCATTGTGTTTTGCGAGAACCCATAAGCTTTCTATAAAAAAAATGAAATAATACAGGTATTCTATAAAAAAAAAAGCTTTCATAATGTCTTGAATCTAATATATGCAACATTGCTACTCGCATGATTTTAAGGTCACTACTTTTTTCAATCAATCCCTTTACGGATTCCTTATGATAATGACTAGGGTTGATCTGATTTATTGTACGTTTTTTCTAAATCGGAATTCTATTGTTTGTAATAAGATCATAAGATTATTTAAAAAAAAAAGAATCCACAATTTCTTAACTCTAAGGGGGTTCTATTTCTATTTCTTCAATGGTACCTCATTCTCTTGAACTCATAAATAAAAAAAAGGGTAGAAAGATCTGAAGGTACTCCATTTGTTCTACCAAGTGGGAGACCAAACTTGACAAAGGATTTGATGTCTATGGAAGATGAGTTGTGAAGATCTGTTTTATTATTTGCTGAAAGGGTGCTGGGCTGAGAATCTTTGGGAAGACTTTTGTGGGAATTAAGTAAGTGAGCTACCCTCCCCTCTAGATTAATTGGGCAATTTATAGTGTGCTTAAAGTCAAAATTGGAGCAAATGGATGGAGGTCATGATGCTTTACTTGCCACCCACTTCCACAAATCTTTCCCCCTTTCAAGCATAATGTTTGAATAATGTCTAGTTGTTTATGGGTGAATGGCAAAATGTCAAATGCTTACTTGCACCCATCTTTTTTTGACAATTTGGGGCTATAGTTTAAGACCCCTGAAATTTGGCTTCATTAGTCAACTAGTAGATGTTTTCTAGAGCAAAGCAAAGCATCTCCCTTTTGTTATTTTTATTCTTGTGGCAACTTGATTGGAAAGGAATTCCAACTCAATTTCCCTTATGAAAATAAACTTGCTTGTTTTCCAGTCCTTGATAAGCTTTGTACTTGACCATTGTATCGATTAACTAATCAAATTCAAGCACAATGTAAGGGAAGAGGAGAGAGATTTTCGCGGAAGAGCAGCCGGAAACACAGCTTGATTTTCCCTTTCTCTTTTCACTCACATACACACAACAACGGCTAATCCACATTCAAAACAAACTAACAAAGAAATTGAAACTAAACAATCCAAACTTGACACATAATTTATTCGTTGATTATGAGCCACTAATCTATCTATAATATGAAGAGAATAAGACAACATGTTTCTCATTAGCAATAAAACAACATCGCAAGGATGAATCAATAAGTAATTTGTGTACAAATTTATAATTTCTTTATCTGTGTATGAGATGATTCTGAGATCTCCCTCAAATCTCAATAGTGTGAATCAAAGTACACCTAAAGATAACACCAGCTTATCAACTACTGTCACTGTGTCACTCTCTAACCTACACAGATCATGGTTCGTGGGCCTGGTTAAGCACCAACTAACGTCACCAGTCACTCACCTCCCACCGACGATATGGCAGTAAACAACAGAAGATGTCAGTTTTTGGAAGGTCAAAGGTCGATGTTGCATAAATGGTTTCACCTTAAAACTCTCCGAAAGTCAATCACGTCTTCTTCTCCACACCACAGTAAATGGCAATCAAATGCCCACCCAATTTGGCTTTCCTGTTTCCTCTAATTCAACACAACTCCCGTTTACCTAACCAGTCCTATTCCTGCCTCGGTGTTCGTTTTCTTTCTTCTACTTGTGCTTCCTCTTGTAGCTACATCATCTAGTTGACACAGGGTCAATGAACATTCAACATGATAATCTCCACAAAACATAATACCTAGTGACTTTTTAGTTCTGACCCACGTTCGTCGGCTAATCATATTGATATCACGTTAGATTTCTTGCTCGTCGTAGGTAAGATTACTAGCATGAGCGCAATGTAGACAATATTTTAGTGTGTCACAAGTCACTACATGTCCTACTGTGCATGAATAAGTACGAATCTACCTCTTCAAACATCCAAAAAATAGTTTTGAATGACGAAACTAACACGCATCACTAATTGATTGTTTAGCTTAATTGTGACTTGATAACTGAAGCATCACTAAGTAGAATCGTTATTGTAATGACATGGGTTATGGATAACTAAGATCAAACACCCAAGTTTCACACTTGAAGAGGTATGACCTTTATTTGCTTATCTCGATATTGCCAAACAATAACTACCATTAAAGAAATGCAAAATACATTCATATTGCACATACATACATTTAATCAAGAGCCACGATTGGCAGAATACACATCGAGGCCTGGACTGGCAAGACCTAACCATATTGAAAATCGAGTGAGCACGAGATTGAAATTAAGGAATGGTTAACTAATTCATTGGCGTGGGTATTTGGTCCGGAAACCTCCAACCAATATTAATCTTGGTTGAGTTTTCCTTAAACCCAACTTTTGAGGGTAGTAGGTTTGATTTGAGTTTGGTAATTTGAGTGTCCACACTGAAATCATCCAAATATGTGACATTTATTATTTAGAGTTTTAGACTCACTCGCTTTAACACTTCGATCATTCATATCCCCTAAAGTATTATAATAATTATCTTATAAAGAAAATTCTTGCTCATTTTCCTCAATTTTACATTTTAAGAATAATTTCACACCAGTATGAAAAACTTTATATTTGTGGTCAAGATGGTGCAGCTAAATTTTACTTCTTGTTACTAGGGTGGATTCTCAAGTTTGTGGTACCCAGTAGGCATTAGGTGATATTTAGTATGAATTAGATTAGATGATCTGCTGATAATGGTTTTTTGGTATGCAGTAGACAAATTTCTAGTGTAGATTGTTATCGACGATTTCTGGTGTTGATTTTTTTGGCACGAGGTTTTTGGCTTGAGTTAGACGACTTCTGGTATGCAGCAGACAATTTCTGGCATAGATTTTGGTATAGTATATGTAATTTTTGTATGAATATGATATTTATCGGATTGATTTTGAATGGTAAGACGGTATATTCTCCGCCACCATCCCAGCTACTAGGGGTGGGCATTAGTGCGGTTCGGACCGCACCAAACCGTATTGAAACTTTTGGGGTCTTCGGCGACCTTATTCCTGAAGCTCTAGTGCTCACGGAAAAAAAGCATGGCAAGCACATTACCTAGTGATCGTCCACAAAACCTGGTCACAAAGCATAAATCTTTAGTTGAATACTTGAATTGGCATGTGCCCAGAACTGTAAGATTTGCAAAAAAATGAGACCAAACAGATTAATCAACATGTTTTCTCCTCCACCTAACGAAAATTGTTCCAAGCAATTCCCTTCCCTTCCACATCTTCTGCAAAAAGAACTTTGGTTTCGGTTTCTTAAACGCTTTTTCTCTGGCTCTCTACCTTGGTCTTACTTTCTCTCTTTCACTCAAAGTAGTGGGCTGGGGGGAACTTCCAGCGTCGCTCCAGCCTGAATCATGCCCCATCCGATCAGGCGCCAGTGCTTCTCCACTCTTCGACTCAGGGCTATCTTCTCCCCCTTGCTGGTGCACACAGGCGACGTCAGCTGCAGCTTCGCGAGATCGTTCTTCACAGCAAGCACCCGAGCGCCTGTCGACATGGACCCAATGTTCAGCATAAGAATCTCTCCCTTCACCAGCTTGGACACCTTCCCTTGCTTCTCGGACCCCTTAGTCCTTACTCCAATCAGTCTCCTCAGAAGGAAGAAATTCACCTACAAAATACATAAAAAAAAGCAAGTTAAGGAGCAATCGGATTTAGATTGTTACTTTCAAGTTAACTAAACGCAGAAAGGCTCTACCTCAAGCTCAACAAAAACATCAGGGAGGGAACCAATGTCCCCAAGGACCTGTCCCACCAGCCTATCGGCACGTGTCAAAGTGGGGTCCATTGTTGTACCAACACCGATGAGACCTCCAGGTACGGCAAATTGTAATTCATTCTGCTCAGCAAACAAACTGACTATCCGAGTGTAGATGGGGGTGCATTTCATGTTGCCATTCTCATCCTTAAGCACGATTCCTGGACGGACCTCAATGTATTGGTTCACCTTCAACACTCCCTGCACAGGACATTGGACAAGTGTTTAACTAGACCCAGCAGAGAATAGAGGAAGACAGAAAATTATATCAGGATATACTTACTGTGAGAATACTTCCACCAGCAACTCCACCTTTGATATCATCAACCTCGAAACCAGGTTTGTTGACATCAAAAGATCGGATCACGATCATATTGGGTGGTAACGTGAAATCCCTCTTCGGAACAGGGATTTTCTTTACAATATACTCGCAGACCACATCAATGTTGTACTTCAACTGTGCTGAGATAGGCACAACTGGAGCACCCTCTGCAACCGTTCCCTGTAAGAGGCAGTAGACTACATAGGTCAGCAGCTGTCACATTTTATTACATTTAATTGAAGAAAGCAGAGCCAAATACAGCTTAAAACAAGAGGATAAATGATGCAAAGAGCATATCCGAGAAGGAGTGAACCTGGATAAAGTTCTGAATAGCTTCATGCTGGTTGATGGCAACATTTTCCTGGACAAGATCAACTTTATTCTGGAGAATAATAATATGCTTAAGACGCATGATTTCAACAGCAGCAAGATGCTCAGACGTTTGTGGTTGAGGGCAGCTTTCATTTGCAGCTATCAGAAGCAATGCTCCATCCATAATAGCTGCTCCATTAAGCATTGTTGCCATGAGAATATCATGGCCCTGTAGGTGACCAAAATGAGTAGAACCATAAACAAGAGACACTAAAATAATAATAATAATAATAATAACAATAAGATTAATGATGGGTGATCAACAAGTGGTATCCTACTAGGAAAACTTACCGGACAATCTACGAAGGAGACATGTCTGAGCAATTTCATCCTAGCATTCTCAAAACCAGGAACATCACACGAAGGGTTGTCTTCCTTACCACTTCCATAGGCCCTGAAGAAACACTTTGAACATGTTAAAAATTAACTGCAGCAACAAAGATGGAACCAGAATACCAACAAGTTTAAGCTTTGAATCAACTCACTTATAACACATAGGCCTAGGGCATCGGTCATCCTCACATTTGTATATCTTTGCATTTGCATACCCAAGCTTAATAGTAATATTTCGTTCCAACTCATTTTTAAATCGAACAGTCTGCAAAAAGGAACGTCAAATAATAATCACTGTTTACATAGGCATAAGACATTATGGAAATCCTCTCCACGCAAGCAGAGCATCTAATAAGCAATGGCAACATATCTTGATAACATTCTTTACTAATTGGAAAATTGGTATTATGACAAAGATTCCTTACTAAAAAGGATAAGGAAGTCCCTCATTCTGGCCATAATGAGTTCTGGGGCACGATAAACAGTTGCTGTATAGGATTTGCATTTAACTAATTGGTAACTTATGGTTTATGAAAGAAACTATAGGCTGCATATCTATATGTTTTCGGCAAGATAGTAGAATGATTGTTATGACTACCGACATCGAAGATAATCGAACACAAGCTCACTATGTAAGATCACCATTATCACTATCTTGTCTTAGCTTAAGTACGAAACATTAATAATTGTCTCAACTCTCTTATAAATGAACCTTACAGAATACATCAAAAGGGAAGAGAACTGAAAACTCAAGTAAACATGGAGTAATGCAGAAAACTTAAAAGAGTCACACACCTGAACACCAGAGATTGCTTTCACGACAGTGGACTTGCCGTGTGCCACATGACCAATAGTACCTGATGATTAGAAGAACGAGAAAGATATAAGTCTACAATTCTTAAAGCGGAATAAGAACAGACATCGACATTATTCCCAAAATACAGCAGCTTAGTTTAAATACTGAAAGCAGGAAAAACAAATCACCTATGTTAATTGTGGCCTGGCGGGATATCACTTCAGGAGAGAGCGGATGTAACGTAGTTACATCCAGCTTACTCAGGTCCTGCTCCATTAAGCCTTTCCGCGACATTTTATACGTCCCTAAGTTTTCCTCTGAAACAAAAGCAAAGCCCAAAATTTGATGATAAACAAAGCATGTTGACGATTCCTATCCAATTCATATTGCATATAGGCACTAGAAGACAGCAAATTGAAGGCAACAAAGGAGCTATAGCGATGCATCCAATTAACCATAAAAATACTAGTAGTGATTCCCTAATCCATCCCCAGCTAAGTCCCTTGTCCAACCTAAAACCATCGAGAACCCCCAAGCAGAACGAGCTGAATCGAATTCTCTCGGTGACCGAAAGCAGCTGAAAGATAGCCATAAAGGAAAAACGAAAATCTAGCTACAACTAAGTCATTTCGAACTAAATCAAGTCTGCCTACAGTTCCAAAGCTCATGACTAGACCACACTCGAGATTCACGCGCTCTAATTGAACTCTAAGAAGACAATTGGCTTAAGCTCTCATCCTAAAGCTCTTGAGCTGAATCCAGCCGCAAAATCAAATTGCCGCACACGGGAAAACAAGCCAAAAGCCAACTACGCTAAGCTTGATGATGAATCAGGCAGGAGAGAAAGAGAAGACGGCGAGAGAATCCGACGGACCTGAGCGAGAAGTTGGAGTGCCAAGTGCGAGAGAACGGTAAGTAAGTCGAAGAAGCTGGGAACGAGGAGACAGAGACCAGAAGCACAGGCAGCGAGAGAGATGAGAATGGCCGCTTGAAGAGGAGTAGCTGATGAATAGTTTGAGCGAGCTAGGGTTATTTTTCTGGGTCTGTTGAGAGAGAAAGAGCTTGCAGGTGGCGTCGGGAATATTTCTGAGTCTCTGGGTTATGGGTTTAGGCTGCTTTAGTCGGTTTGTAATAAAAAGGGCTCAGATCGAAGGGCCGGGTGCCTTTATAAGAGTTAGTCCCTTCACACGGCATGGGCCACACATACTGGAAGCCCGTTAGGAAAGCCCAACTCTCGGGGAAATTATTAGACCATCTCAGCCTCGGATGGAAAAGTGGAAATATATTTTTTATTTTTTATAAGGCAAAATACACTTTCATAGCCATAACTATTCGCGTTGTGACAAATATAGCCATTTTTTGAAAAATACATTCGTATAGCCTTTCCGTCCAAAACTTTAACGACAAAATCTTAAATGCTGACTGTACTAACGTTTTCTGGTGATGTGGCAATTTTTTGTTTAAACCAATCCTAGGTGAAAAGTTTCCTTTCTTATTATTATTATAATTACACTAAAAAGTAAAAAGTAAAAATAAATAAAATTGAAAATCGTCCATCATCATCTTCTTTTCCCCTTCTTTCCATCTATCCAATCCAACAGACCCATCCCGATTCTCTTCCCCATCGTCCATCATCCACGGCCCAGATCATCTCCCACGGTAGAGATCTCTCAAACGCTTCTTCCCCTGATTATGATTATGATTCCTCCAATAATGGCGGCGGGGAGCGGGGCTCGTCTCTGTCGTTGAAACCCTACAGTAGGTACGATGCGCAATTGCTTGCTATGCAGAGCAACTTGAATGCATACGAGATTGCTGAGCTCCGTTGTGGAGGAGAAAAGGGACGAGGTTGAGAAACTGTTGACTAAGAATGAAGAGCGGTGGCGGTGGTGGTCTGGAGCTGAAGAAGGTCGTCGATCCGTGGACGTCGACCATCCAGATCTCGCCGCCGAGGAAGTTTTCCTTGGAGCTAGGAGGAGGCCAAGAAGTCACTAGCAGCCAAGGAGTCAATGTCGCCACCTCCACCAATCTCCTCTGACGCCGCCACTGTCGCGAAGCTCCGCGATTTATTCAGTTCCTTCCGACTTCTCCATTGGATCGATTTATCCCGTCGCGAAAGTCGTTGTGGACAACTTTTGCGAGAATTAGAAAGCGGGGACGGTGGCCAACAGGGACTGACGTTCGTTCCTCCTCTTCTCTCCTCGTCTTGCTCAATCTGGCCTCCCCTTTCCTCTCACATCTTGTCGGCGAAAATCCCAGATCGAAAAATTGAAGAACCCTAATCGCCATTGAACTTACTCCTTGAAAAATTTCAGACCCAGAAACCGAAAAACCCTGATTGGGGGCACCTGCCACCATTTTCACCATCAAATCCTCATTGAAAATCTTTTATTTTGGTTTTTGGTAAAATTAATTATTTTTTGTTAAAAATTACTATTAGTATGATGTGGCATAAAGACGTCCAATTGGCGACGACGTGTCGTTCAGGTGGCATCCACCTCAGCGACACGTAGAGGTTATTGACGGTGTTAGTGACGATGTTAAAGTTTGCAACGGAAATGGCTAAAATTGTCAAGCAAGTTTGAAAAAATGGCTATATCTGTGTATTTTTCAAAAAGTGGCTATATTTGTCACAACGCGAATAGTTATGGCTATGAAAGTGTATTTTGCCTTTTTATAATCCACCTAATTCCATTAAGAAAGGGCTTTAATGGCCCGAAAGATCATTACAAAGCATGTCACAAATGACAGGTGGTCTTCCAGTCTAGAAAAAATGAGTTCGTCAAACATTATGCCTTGTTCACTTGCCATTTCGTTTTATCTAGCTACTCACAACATAAAACATCTGAAAATGAAAACGAAGTTGTCGTTATCTGAGAAACAAAACCTGCAAAAAACTTGTTAAGCTGAGAATTTTTATGGTTTCTGAAACTGAATTCTGAAAATGAAAACCTGTTTAGTTACTTCATTATGTTTTCCGGTATTTGATTAGCACAATCTTTTCATTGAGTATTATACAATTCTGATCATGATTATAATTTTTAATACGAATTACATTGTTTTCCGGTATTTGCAAGTAATCACACCATTTTTTTTTCATTTCCATTGTGTATCATCTAACTCCGACCATGATATCTGTTGGACCACTCATTGAGACGCGTGGGGCCTCAAGCCCATGATCACTAAAAGCCCATAAGTAGACAAACCTAGGGATGGCGAAAATATCCGTAACCGTGGATATCCGCCCGAATCCGGCCTAATCGGGTAGGGTAAAACCCGAAGCCGAAGGACATTTTGTGGGTATGGGTAAAACCCGAACCCGAATATTGTGAGTAATGGGTGGGCATGGGTTTCTCACTATCCAACCCGAACCCGCCCGATTATACACATGCACATGTATTTTGTCTAGAAATAATAATTATTTTTCTCTAACATATTTTATATTTAGCATATAAATATAATATTTTCATGAAATTGTGTTGTTTTAATTAATTTTCTTCATTCTGATGAAGTATTGTCGTACTTTTCCTCTTACGTAATGTGAGAATACGTATGAATGTTAACATATTGGTTGGTGTTATGAAGAGAAATTATTACCCATGGATAACCGTGGATATCCGAAATCCCAACGAGTATGGGCATGATTTTGATTTTCTACCCGTTTCACATGTGGGTATGGGTATGGGTAAAATCCGAACTAGTTTGGGTAGGGTAACGGATATGCACTATCTGCCCTCGACGCGACCCATTGCCATCCCTAAACAAACCCGACCCAAACAACCCGGGTTACTCAAGAAAGCCCACCCGAGGCGGTCTTCTTGAATGACTAAGGGTCTTAACAGTCTCTTGACTGCCTCAGTACGGAGACTGACAAATATACAATTTTGACTACGCACTTAATGAACCCGGAGGCGTCCATAGACGTCCGACAAAGCATTAAATGCCATCACCCCAACCAACGCTAGTATCAATACCCCTCAATGGGTCAAATTTATGGTAACTTCCAACCACCGCTCTCTCTCTCTCTCTTATTTACTATTCTCTACTTCTCTCAATAACTTAAGCATCGGAGGAGATCCCAGGCTTCCCCTAAGGACCTTTCCTTGCAGGGCACGACATGACCGCCCCTCGATCAAAGTCCGTGCGCGGTCTGTGGAGCTTCACCAAAAGCCTGATACTAATCAGGCGTAAACATTTTGGCGCCCACCGTGGGGTCTGAAGACTTCGCTACGGCAAAGATGGGGGACGAGTTCGAAACCCCGCTCCAGGGAATGGTCGAAAACAACACACTGAGGGATATATCACCGAGAATCGTGGATGAGACAAAGTTGGAGGATGTTGTCAAAAGTCAAGGGAAACAGAACACGAGCATGCAGAATAGCCTCGACCAAATACTTCACCTCTTGAAGACGAGAGAAGACCTAACCGAGGCCTCAAAGGGAAGACCGCGTGAGGATAAGCAGAAGGCCACTTTCATCCCTGACAGTCCTGCACAGAAAGAAGGCGAGGGAATGGAGGTAGAAGACGTGGATCTCGGCTTTCTTGAGTAACATTTGCGGTCCACCTACGGGAGCACAATGAGCCAAATATTCTACAAAATCCCCTGGCAAAAGAGTTATTCAAAACTCAGGTGCCCCCAAACTTCTCATCATTGGGGCTACCCACCTACAGTGGGACTTTAGATCCCATGTATCATCTTTGTGCGTTCATGCTGAAAATGCAGCTCATAAACGCCTCCGATTCGGACATGTGCCTTGCGTTCTCGGTTACTTTCATCGGTCAATGCCGAACGTGCTAAACCTCCCTCCTTGAAGGGGTCATAGAGAACTTTGAACAGTTCGATATGCTGTTCTCGACAATGTTTGCATCCCAACGGAGACGCAAACTCACCGTCTCCACTCTCATCAACTGAAGTCAAAGGAAGGAAGAGTCGCTAACAGATTTCTACGACCGATGAAACGCAATCGCGTGTGAAATACAAAGAATCTCCCAGTTGGTGGCCGCAGGCAACCTCAGGATGTCAACGAATAGCATTAAGCTGAAGAGAGCCATGATAAAGAAGGAATCCTCCCTCTCGTTGTCGCCGGAGCTGGACCAGTTGGTCCGGCGGGCTATATCACTTGAAGAAGCGTTAACCACAGACGATCAAAACAGGCGACCTCGACCCCGGTTTGATACCGATGACCGAGGAGATGCTCAACGAGGGAGACGCTCCCCAGATCAAAAGGCATATCAAAACCGGTACTTCGAGCGAGACAACAGAAAGGAAGTGCTTTTGCTGATCGAGAGCGTGAAAGAGAAAAAAGAAAGGGAGGGAAGAAGCGAGAGGCGCCTCCAAGGCAGTAGCAGCAAGAGGGAAAGAAATGGTTCGACTAGCACCAGGCGGCCACCCATGACACCGCAGAGTGGAGGGAATTCAGAGCCATCCTTAAGTACCTCGCTCCAGGAGATCTTCGCAACCGCCTCAAGACCAGACGATCACACAGAGAACGCTCCCAAGAAGCACATGAAAGGTCTCGGAGCCTAGAGCCAGACAAAGCGAGGAGAACTAGAGCGGAGAGATCAAGATTCCCCTCGTAGAACAAGGCGCCCTCGCCACCGCGGCGCCTTACCGCCTATTGGATCACGCGACGTCGAAGATTGAATGGAAATCATAACAATAGCTGGGAGCAGAAAGCGCGTGAGGTCGGAAGGAGACTGCATTGCACACTGCTTGAATGTCCAACGAAAGGCGCCAGCTAACGGTGCCTTATTTCACCCGAGCTGTTCAAAGAGGAAAATGCGGAAGACCCACTGGTCATCACCTTTCGAACCGCGAAGTTCATAGTCACCCGCACTCTGGTAAACAATGGAAGCTTTGCAGAAATTCTCTTGTACTCAACGCTCAAGAGCATGAAAAAGAGTGTCCAAGACCTCCATCCCTCCAACACCAGTCTGGTAGGCTTCTCCAGAACGAATGTGCTTGTTCTCGGGTCAATCACCCTCAAGGTAACCATAGGTGAAACGGGAGTCGCAAAGATGCGTCCCGTAGAGTTCCACGTGGCAGATTGTCCATCCGCATACAACGCCATTCTGGGATGCGGTTTTCTCGCAACCTTCGAGGTGATTCCCTCAACGTGCC